ATGGGGGGAGGGGGCAGTGGCGGCCGGCGCTGGGCGGGGGAGTGAGTGCAGCTGGCCTGCCGCCAGGGTTCACAGTGAATCCCGATCCCGTGGCTTCGGTGCCAGCCTGGCCCGCGCCAACGTCTCCTGAATCGGGCTGAAGAGCTGCGATCCCAGCAGCGGGCTGGGGGCAGCAGGAGGTGAGGGCGGCCATGGCGCCGGCTGCGCTAGGATGAGGGCCCTTTCTCTTCTCTGCCGTAGAGCCTGCGCAGGCTGGCGTCCATCAGGAAATCCACGGACCTGCAGCGAGGAGAGGCTGGGGTTTGGGGGAGGGCGGCGTCTGTGCCCGGCTCTCTCCCCTCCCAGCTGGTACCTGCATTGAGGGCCATGCATGGGCCCCGCCCCTCCAGCTCTGATACCAGCTGGTGGCTTTGCCACAGGTGCTGGGGGAGGCTAGTAAGCAGCAGCTCAGATCCGCCAGCATCTGCCTCGGCCCCGGCGCAGCCTTACCTGTCGATGGGCTTGATGATGAGGGGGATGGCGGAGAGGCCGATGGCCGTGGTCGCCCACTTGCGGACGGGGAGGGGCCAGCGGGTGGCAGTGCCCAGGAGGTAGAGGGAGGCTGCACAGATCCGGTTAATGGTGAAGCCTGGGATGGCCACGGAGGCCAGTGCCAGCCACACAAAGGTGTCCCCCACTGCCACGGCCACCCGCGCTGTCCGGCCTGCGTCCTGCTGGTGCACCTGCGGGGGAGCACAGAGTGCGTGGGGCAGGGTGCGCATGGTGGGGGAAGAGGGCACAGGATCCGCTATGGGACTGGGAACAGACTGCAGCTGCACGGGAGGAGTGAGAACATGTTCAGCAGAGGCAATGTGTGTGCATGAGTACACCTGTGTACGCCAGTTGTGAGTGTACAGCCCTGGGTGCGTGTACAGGGGTGGGTGCTGGTTGTGGGTGTGCATGAGTACAGCAGTGTGTGCCAGTTGTGAGTGTACAGCCCTGGGTGCGTGTACAGGGGTGGGTGCTGGTTGTGGGTGTGCATGAGTACAGCAGTGTGTGCCAGTTGTGAGTGTACAGCCCTGGGTGCGTGTACAGGGGTGGGTGCTGGTTGTGGGTGTGCATGAGTACAGCAGTGTGTGCCAGTTGTGAGTGTACAGCCCTGGGTGCGTGTACAGGGGTGGGTGCTGGTTGTGGGTGTGCATGAGTACAGCAGTGTGTGCCAGTTGTGGATGTACAGCTCTGGGCATGTACAGCTCTGGGGGGGTGAGACGGTGCAGCTCTGCATGTGCAGGGACGGTGTGGAGGCCTGTGTACATGCACACGTACACCTGTTTGCGGGTTGGGTGTAAAGCTGTGAATGCACAGGGGTATAGGTTGGGGGTGTACACAGCTGTGACTGCACATGTGCGGGTGTGTGCATGGCGGGGGGGCGTTGAGCAGTGTGCATGGGGGGGTGATGGTATACAGGGGGTGGGAGAGCCCAGGACACTCACAGCAGCTGCCTTCCGGCCCTTGTCGATGGCATCGGCCGCCACGTAGGAGGTGGCCACCCCGTAGCTTGCCCAGACCAGCGAGACAGGCACGATGGCTCTGAAGGACTCGCCAACCTCATTGGCATAGCCTGCAAGGAAGGGCACAGCGGGGCGGGGCTGGAGCCAGAAGAGGCTTCCCCAGCCACATGCCACTTCCTGCTCTCGGTTCTTCGCACCCGGCGCCGTTCTAGACTCCATCGTCCCCCTGAGCCGTCCCTGTGGCGCAGGGGAACGTCCCGATCTTACATGTCTCCTCAGGCGAAAGCCGATCCAAGCCCTTACCCGCCCGTGTGGCCTGTTTCTGACTCTCTTCCCAGGCCAAGATGGTTTTATTTTTTAGATGTGTGGCTGTGCCATGGATCTATACGGTGCCAGGAAGGTATTCCGTCTCATTCTCGATCCCGCCTGGAATGCCTCCTAACATTGGGTTTGCTTTCTGACGGCCGCTGCGCACTGCGGGGATGTTTTCAGAGAACTCGCCACAGTGACTCCAAGATCTCTGTCTTGGGTGGTAACAGGTAATTTAGACCCCATCATGGACAATTTAGATGCTAGCATACAGAGGACGCTTGTTGGGTGCATCTAGACTGGCAAGAGTTTGCACAAAAACTTGCCGCCTGTCTACACTGGCCGCTTGAATTTGCGCAAGAGCACTGATGACAATGTAAGATTGGCTGTGTTCTTGCGCAAGAACTCTGACGCTCCTGGTCAGGGAAAAAGCCCCCTTGCGCAAGAGGTCAGTGTACGTAGGGACAGGAATTTTTTGCATAAAGTCCTGATGGCAAAAATGGCCACCGGAGCTTTCTTGCGCAAAATGCGTCTATACTGGGCACAGATGCTTTTGCGCAAAGGCACTTGCCAATCTAGATGCTCTTTTGCGGAAATACTTTTAATGGAAAACAGTTTTTCCATTAAGTATTTCTGCAAAATCATACCAGTCTAGTTCCCAGCTGATACCAAGCTGGGAGAGGTAACAACTGCTCTGGAAGACAGAGCCATAACTTAAAATGACCTGGACAAAAGGAAGAAACGCTCTGAGGTCAACAGGATGACATTTAATAAGGACAAATGCAAAATACTCCACTTAGGAAGCACCAATCAGTTTCACACACACCGAATCGGAAGTGACTGTCTAGGAAGAAAGGGACCTAGAAGGCAGAGTGAACCACACGCTAAATGAGGCCACATTGTGATGCTTGCCAAAAAAAAAAAAGCAAAGCCGATTTAACAGGCGTGTTGTGAGCAAGACACGGGAAGTCATTCTTCCGCTCTACTCTGCGCTGGTCAGGCCCCAGTTGGCCTCGTGTCCAATTCCAGGAGCCACACTTCAAGAAAGATGTGGAGAAATTGGAGAAGGCCCAGAGAAGAGCAATAAAAATGATGCAAGGTCTCGAACATGAGCTAGGCGGGAAGACTGAAAGAATCGGGCTTGTGTAGTTCAGAAAAGAGAAGGCTCAGCGGGGCCATGAGAGCGGCTTTCAAGTATTTAAAAGGAGGGGGAGAAAAATTCTCCTTGGCCTCTGAGGACAGGACAAGAAGCAAGGGGCTTACACTGCAGCCAGGGAGGTTGAGGTTGGACATTAGGAGAAACTTCCCGCCTGGCGGGGGGTCAAACACTGGGATGAGTTGCCTGGGGAGGTTGTGGAATCTCTATTGCTGGAGATACTGAAGGGCAGGGTGGACGGATGGCGGCTGGGGCTGGGGCTGGCCGTGGGGGCAGGGGAGGGACAGGAGGCCCCTGCAGGTTCCTTGGTTCTCTGAGTCCAGCCGGTGGGTGGTTTCCAATGTGCATGACTTTGCATGTATTAACACTGGCCTTCAGCTGCCCAGTCGCCCAGGTCAGAGCGACCCTGGGAGAGCAGGGCTGGG